ATTTTTTCCCAGCTCGCTACCAACCCTAACTTGACTCTTACAGTCAACGAAAGACAAATCAACGCTCACAGAAAAAAGCACAAGATCTACACAGTGAAAAACACTTACATGACTCACCGCTCGCCTACTGTCGAGCGAGTGATTCATAGAATCTCTGAGGAATTTAGGTCGATAAGGATTAATCTGCAACACTGCTCGAGAGTGGCTTTCATCTCTCTTTTTCATTCCCTTTTTCGGTGGTAGGGAAGAAGGAAGAGAGGAAGGAAAGGAAAAAAGGTTGATTATTTGGAGTACAAGGAAGGATGAGAAACAGACAGAGATGACAGAGCGAGAGGAAGGGAAGAATCAGAGGTAGAGATGGGTTGAAAGAGGAAAATCAGAGAGACAGAACGTGGAATATTGAGCTAGTTAGGTTTCTGATTATGCTCAACTAGCATGAATAACAAAATAACTAGAATTGAACATAATATCAACGGGAAATTTTACTTACATTGAATGAAAATATGCATACCTAATATATCAAGATGTAGGTGGAGTGCGTGGTATTTGTTGGTCTGACAAATATTCCTTCAGTAATGATCTGCGAACCAAACGATGGACGGTAACCTTGCAGAAATGACCTTGAATTACAGCTGTGGACTTAATGCAAGTGTACACTGAATGTCTTGTACAGATGATGACTTTGTTCGGTGTCCGTAGAAGTGGACTAATTCCTTAAAGAACTGCACACTTTATATTCCTTGTTAAGCTGTAGTGTTAGCCTAGCCTAGGTTGATCTCTCTCCTGGTAACTATGTTTGTCATTTGAATATGTCGCCTGTGTTCATTTTGTTTCGAGCTCCAGTAATTCGTGGAAGAGGCGAAAATGCAATTCGCTGTAAAGATAAATGTTGAAATAAGAGGGTGCTGCAGAAAGGATTATTTGAGTTTATGAAGAGAAACACTTGAGAACCATTGGCCTAGTTTACGATTCCACTTTGAAGCTATATATTCTTAATCCTATATAAACTGTACTTTTAATCTCTTGCACAACAGTGAACTTTAGTTTCCTTGCACAACTGTAGAATTTAACTCCCTTGTGCGATGTACATCCTGAATCCATTGCACAAGTCCAGAGTCCGAACCCCTTGAGCAGCGATATGTTTTGAACCCATTGTGCAGCAATATACTTAGTATCCATGTCAGCTGCAGATTATGAGTCCCTCTTGCATTTGCATACTTTGTATCTCTTTCAGCTGTTGACTTTGAATTTCTTGTAAAACTGTAATATCTGGATCCCTCATACAGCTGTAAACTTTATCTCCTGTGTGCGACAACTGATTATTTTTCAGGCCTATACTTTAAATTCCTTGGGCAATTGTACATTATGAATGTCTTAGCACTTATAGGTCTAGTGACTTTGTGTACATTACACGGCTGTAAAATCCGTTGTACAGCTGTAGAGCTTCAATCTCCAACACATCCATAGTTCGAATGTATTATACAATTGTACACCTACAATTCTTTCTGTATGGTACATATACCTAAGCCGTCTTTGGTAGATCAAGGAAAGTACCAACGTGTTGGATTTTTTCCAAAGTTTAAATTCCGCCCTTTTAGCCTGAAATTTGTTACTAGGGGCAATCCTCGTTTCTAGTGTGCTATCTTTTTACCTGAAGAACCTAACCGTGATTATATTTTACAATAGAAATGCATTAAATGTATATCTAGATCATTCTGTATCCAAAGATCAAAGAAATAAACTATGGACAAAGAGATTATTTTTGTTGTTGATGGTATTAATGGAAATATCTGGAAACTTTTCCTCTCAAACACACGGTGCCTCAAATGATTTCTTCGATTTTGTATATTGCCAATAACGTGTATTTGTATAAAATTTGAGCATGTAATGTGGCTGTGATAGCAATGAATATTATAAAATCTAAGAAAATGTTAGTAAAGTGAATGGAGTTATATAACTGTGCTCATATAAAGCCGATCAAATAACAAAAACTACATGTAGTTACTGTAATTGGACGATGCATAAATCATCATGGCGAAGATGAAAAGTGCTGACCAATACACACACACGCAGGGGGGGGGGGGGGTAAAGGGAGAAGGAGAAAGATAATGGAAGAGGGAGGGAGATTATGGAAGATGAAGAGAGATTATGGGAAAGGGAGAAAGAGAGAGAGAGGGAGAAAGAGAGAGAGAGAGAGAGTCTCTGGACAAGTCTTGAACTGTCATTCGTGTTATGTTATTGATAACACTTTAGCGTACTGTGTGTAATGAGCTGTTCGATAGTTTTTTTTCCCTAATTCGCTATGCCTGGCAATGTATTCACCAGCCAATCAGCATTTATTCCCTTTTCTTATTTATGATAACAGAGTTCCATATCATTAACAGCCACCAGAATACTCATTCCTGGGTTCAAAAGGCTAAATGAGGCGGTGCTTACTGATAAAATGTACCTTGCCCAGCTGTAGACTCCGTCTTCGTATATAGTTTGTCAAAAGATCAAATTGGATATCTGATATTTTATTTTAATGCAAAGTCCGCAGAGGTTTAAGCAATATAACTGGGATCCATTAATAACCTAAACATGAATAACTAAAATACTCTTAACAGCAAGGCATACACATCTGCTGATTATATGTCTATACGTCTTTGCACGGTACCTACAGTATGTTGTGATTGGCGCCAGTAATAAACATGATTATCAATGTGGCTGCCTTTATACAATACATATAATGGCTCAGAACAATGATAGCAAGACACTTGAGTTAGAAGCAGGGTATTCTCCCGACTGAGCCACGCAAAATGAAACTAATAATGTGAAGAATGAAATGTGCATGTTCAATTTACGAAGGTATGGTTTTACAAGCTTGAAATGGAATGAAGACGCGTTTATAATAATAACAATGAGAGTAATGACTTTCAGTATAAACTATGCTGTCAAAGAAAACTGATCTGTAGTTTGATTCAGGGGAAACTATGCTAATTAATCCTATTATAATTATCAATAAGTAAGCTGTTATTATATGATTATTATATTAGGCGATCTTTGGAAAATGTTAAATTGACAGATATCTTACCAACTTTAAATTCATTAATTAGCACATTTACCTCTTAATTTTACAATCCACACAACTTAACTTTTCACTCTTCACCCAGTATCTAATGCACAATTCTGATCAAACCTCAGACTTATCACTCTTATTATTTACTCTTATTAACAACAGTAACATACTCCTTAAAGATCACAATGAAACATACTGTTATATCTTTTCATAAAGTAAATTTGAAAGCACCGGGGATTTCCGTTACGCATTTTCCTTGCGCCAAACGATATCAACAATCCATTGCATGTAGTGCTCGACATTGGTATAAATTCCAGGCACCGTTGTTCCCTGACAGCTTGGCGAGCCCTTAGCCACTATGCCAAGGACAGTATGTTGACACGTGGACGCATTTTCCTCAGTGAGAGGACCGCCGCTGTCACCCTGAGGGGGAAAATAGAAAATTGATGAAAGAGATAAGATGGATAAGAGAAATATCTTCAGATCAGGAAAGGCTTGTCTTTTTCAGTTCTTAAAACCGATTGCCGATGGGCATGGCATGTGCGTACATTTCAAGCCCACCACGAGTTTACTTGTTTAATTGTTTTTACTCATAGATGACTACCCCTGTACTAAGTCACTAGTGAGCCAGTTATGAGTAGTCTCTGTCTCGCCTGTTCACCTTTATTTATTGATTTACGAAAATATTTTAAGTTATATTATTTTACTGTTACTAATGTTTATAACAATATAGTAATTATAATGTTTATGATAAAAATAACACCAACTATATTTATAGCACTAGTAAAAAAATAAGTTTTTTTTCCCGCCAGTTCAAGGAAAGGTGAAATGAGGTAAGGTCTCAAGATCTACTAACTGACTCTGACTGACTGATTTATATAATTTATATATATTTATATATACTTATATATGTGTGTGTGTGTGTATTAACCACTCCTACCATCGTTGTCTTTATAACTATTACCACCACCAAGGTCTATATCATATAAAACTTAAAAACTTAACTACCACTACCATCATCCTCAATAAATACCAATGTATATGTATACCCTGTGTGTATTACCAAGATCAGTAAGAAAATGTAGATCATAAACCAATAACTAAACTAAACAGAAAATTCGCATATCAAAGAAAACGTAGAAGGAAGGAGGATAGACTAAAAGAAAGATAATAATACCGCGTTGTAAACAAATTATTAATCTTACACGAACTAACCACTTAGAATGGTTGGTTATTACCTAAGCATTGTCGCATTCAACAGATTTCAAAAATCACTTAGACAAATACTAAAAAGAAAAAAACAAAACAAAAAAAGAGGAAATGAAATCAAGACTCCACACAACTAAAGAAATTGTTAATAAGAGGGTAGGCTAATGTAAACCTGCCTTAAAATTCAAATGATGAAACATTTTAAACAAAAACAGTTATTATCAAACAGATAAGCAGAATGATAAATATATTAATCGAAAATATCACCTTGCAAGGGCCAGAACTACTCTCATCCAAACAGATGATGGAGTCGGTGATCCCTGCTCTATAGAAGTCTCTATTGAGAGCGTTTGTGTCGAGCGCATCGTCACACCCAAAGCGAGACACGGTTCTCCCGAAGCCCTTCAGTAACACGTTGGAGAATTCGGCTGTTGGAGAGAGAAGGAGAGATGTATGATAAGGATGATTTTTGTTTATGGTAGTATTATTTTGAAAAGTGCCAGTAGTTTCACCATTTGCCTACACTTATCACATTATCACTATCACCATCATTTTAAACTAACACCAGTAATGTAAAATAAATAAATAAACAAATAAATAAATAAATAAATAAAATAGAATATTAAATAAATAAATAAATAGGATAAAAAATAAAATAAAATAAAATAATATTGGGTCCATATCAAGCCTACGAAGACACTGCAATACCCACCTACTTCGGTTGACCCCCAGCCAGCCACAGTGAGAATTTTTCCCTCCTGCAGGCGTCCGTTCTGGGTCGGCAGACAGGCAGGCACCAAGCCCCTCGACAGTTGTACCTATTGCGGATAGTTATAATGGTGTTATTAATGTTACTGGTTTTATCATTTGTAGAATTATGAGATTAATTTAACAACTGATGAATCGTATTCATGTTGACACGTAGAAAAAGAATGAATGAGAATGAATATCCTCAGAATACAAGAGATTATTTGACCGGTTTCGATTACATCTTCGTCAGAGATACATGTATTTCTGATGAATATATAATCGAAACCGGTCAAAAACATTACTTGTATTGTGAAGATATTCAATGTCATTCATACCTTTTATACATCACAATTAATGTTATCGCTGTAATTAATATGAACATTATCATTTTTAATATTATCGTCAGCAACTATACTATCATGATTATTATTAGTTATTATCATTCATTAGCATTAGAATTATTACTCTCATTATTATCATCCATCATTATAATCATAATTATCATTATTATTATTATTATCATCTTTATTATTATCGTAATCATCATCATTTTTATTGTTATCATATTTATTATTATCGAAATCGTTATCATTTTTATCATCACGATCTTCATCTTTAGTATCATTATCATTTTCATAATTATTATTATTATTATCATTATTATTATTATTATTATTATTATTATTATTATTAGTCATTATGGCTATCCTATTATCATTATCTTTTGTATCATCATCATTATTATTATTATCCTTATTATCGTTACCAGTATGGCTATCATGTTATCATTATCTTTACTATCATCATTATCATTATTATTATTATTATCATATCATTATCATGATTAGTAGTTTTATCCTCATCATCACCTTTATTATTATTATTATTATTGCTATTATATTATCTTTATCACTAATAGTAGCATTATCATTAATATTATTATTATTATCATTATTATTATTATTATTATTATTATTATTATTATTATTATCATTATTATTATTATTATTATTATTATTATTATTATTATCATTATTATTATTATTATTATTATCATTATTATTATTATCATTATTATTATTATTATCATCTTTATTATTATCGAAATCGTTATCATTTTTAATATTATCTTCGTCTTTAGTATCATTATCAATTTCATAATTATCATTATTATTATCATTATCATCTTTATTATTATCGAAATCGTTATCATTTTTATCATCACGATCTTCATCTTTAGTATCATTATCATTTTCATAATTATTATTATTATTATTATCATTATTATTATTATCATTATTATTATTATCATTATTATTATTATCATTATTATTATTATCATTATTATTATTATTATTATTATTATCATTATTATTATTATCATTATTATTATTATTATTATCATTATCACCATTACCATTGGTATTATTATCATTAACATTGTTATTAACGTTATAACGATAATCATTGGTATTGGTGGAAATGATATCTACACCGAAACTGAAAAATCCGAGAGAACGTAACATTCTAAGACACTAACGCAGGGGTCGGCAATCTGCGACCCGCAGAGTCCGAGCTCATGGTCTGTCACACTGCTTCACATTCATATAACAATCCGTTTTTGTTTTTTTTACACCTGATGGGTTTTATTTGGCACTCCGGCACTTTCTCTAGCTCTCGCACCGAAGAGGTTGGCGACCCCTGCTCCAAGGGTAATAGAAAGGGCGAACGGAATTGTAGTGGAAGTTGTAAGCGAGGGAATTGCACTTGGCTGTGACGTCACAACAGACACTACCGACAAGTCTATTAGAGCCAATGATGTATGTAATAAATGATCCAGATATTTGCCTGGGCTCTGTCCTGCCGGAACATATGGGACGAAGATTTTGTAGACCAGGTGGGGGATCGGAGGAGCTGCAGCCCCCCCTGAAAGAGAGTTTTGGGGGCGAAGCACCCTATGTAAAATTAATGTTACCTCGATCATTTGCTTTTACCACTAAATTTCCTTGATAATTATCATGCCCTCCCCAGCTATCGGGGCCGATACCGTAACTGTGCTGCGTTTGCGAAAGAAATAAGTGCTAGATTCGTTCGAAACATAAGAGCTATCAGAAAAAAAAGTTTTCACACGGATGTCATTATTAGGTACCATTTCCAATTTTACCTGATTATCATTATCATTATTATAATCATTATCATTATCAGTATTATTATTATCTCCATTGTCGTTATTGTTATTATTTTCATTATTGTTTTTAACGTTCCCTAGCTTATGGAAAACATCTCTGCTATCAAAAGTAGCTCTGAAAAGTTGGTGGTGCGAACTGCAGTTTCAGTAACATGCCCTCCGTCTATCGACGAAGACTGGTAACGCCACATAGCCAAAATTGCTGGTTCGAGTAGCAGGTGGAAATCAGGGAACCCATCGACCACCTAATCTCACCCACCGCCAGAAACGGCAGGTGCGGAGTGTCGTACTGCCT